GCAGTCCATGTGCTATAGGTTGGCCTACAATGCCCTTGGAGGGAATTACAAGATTTTGACCCAACGACAGTAAAAGAACGATAAAATATTTCCAAGTCAGGACGTTGAGTGGCTAGGAAGGGAACTTGAGGTGGTGGTCCCATGTATCAATTCCCTTGTCCTTTAGATGGAAGTGATCATGGGTTTGGAAGCAGCTATTTAAGGATCTTTGCCGAATTTCTGCAGTGCATCTTGTAGATAGTACGCACTGCTGCTACTCAGTACAGGTGGTGGAGAGACTGGATGCTTGAGGATGTGGTGCCAATCAAGTGGGCTGCTTCATCCTGGATGGTGTCAAGCTTCTTGAGTGTTGTTGGAGATGGACTAATCCAGGCAAATGTGGAGTATACCATCACACTCCTGACTTGAGCCTTAATATTGGTGGACAGGCTTTAGGGAGTCATCAGGTGAGTTACTGACCGCAGTATTCCTAGCATCAGACCTGCTCTTGTAGCCAGTGTGTTTGTGTGGTGAATCCAGTCGAGTTTCTCGTTAATGGTAACCCCCAGGGTTGTGACAGGTTCAGTGATAATAATACCAGTGATTGTCAAGGAGCGGTGGTTAGATTGTTCCTCATTGGAGATGGTTATGGCCTGGTTGTAGTAATTCTGAATCCCAAGTTAATGTTCTGGGTACACAGATTTGAATCCTATCATGATGGATGGTGAAGTTCGGATTCAATAAAAATTTGGAATGAAAAGCTAGCACAATTGCAACCACATAAACACTGATTGTTGCAAAATCCCATTTGGTTCACTAAATGTCATTTAGGAAAGATAATCTACCATTCTTACCCGCTCTGGCCTGCACGTGACCCAGGTCCCCAATGTGGCTGCTTTTAACTTTGGACAATTAAGGATGGGCAATAAATCTCTGCCTAAGCAGCAATGCCTCAGTCCAGTGAACAAGTAAAAATGTTGCATGCTAATAACTCACACAGGATACTTCTGGGAACACAAAGCCAGGGGCAATCTTGGAAACAACTCACTGACTACAAGCTGTGGGGTTCTTGCTCTGTTGGCTGTACAGAGAGCTTTTGGGCCCCTGCCTTTAGGAAATAAAATGTGTTCTGTAATTATCAATTGCAGACATATTAGACTGTCTACCAGAGAGCTATCATAATATGTTGCAGAGTATACAGGAGTCCATTAACAACTTGTATGGTATTCACACATTGTCATCAGTCTAAGAGAATACACTTCACTCAATAGACTGTCAAGCTTGGATTACGTGCAGGGACCTATGGCACCAGTTATTGCTTATGTTCATGCTGAGACCATGCTTTTAGCTCTACCATCTCTGAATAAATCAGAGCTTTTCTCAGATCCCAAATGTCCTATAGCCTGCTTCCTTATTGATTCTGAACATTGAACCTCGGATTAATAGTAGGGTAGTTGCTACAAATATAATACATTGATTTCCTGCAGGATAAAAAGCCCTTGGAAGCCAAGTAATCAACGCTCAACCTGGTGCCAAAAAAAGCCAGTTGTGCTAGTCTCCTAAAGGTCATCACATTCCTGGAGCTAAGTTCTTGGAGGCTCAATTTTAAAACTATTGTCTGCATATATCTCAAGAGCCCCCTTATCAGTATCATGTCTGCCTTCTACCTCCCTCACCAAAGCCACAGCCAGACATAGGGAAACAGACTGCAGACTATCCACAAAATGCCTCCCAATACTTTGCAGCAGTTTAAATAGGCGCAGATGAAGACAAATTGAAACCGTATATAAAGATTGCCCCTTGATCTTCATCTCCACTGAGCTTTGCTGTCCATGGTTAACGGCCAAGTTGAGGAAGTAGAAGTGGCATAAAAATGGTGGCAGAATGTCTTCACACTGTTAATTGACCCTATATTTACACGCACCTATTAAATCTTCTTTGTTCAGCACTATACTTTTCACTTTTTCTGCAGCTAGCATTTTAATTCCAAAAAGGTGATTTTGGAATGTTCTTTTTAATAAAGATCCTTGTAACAAAGAAAATCCATGGTTACTAAGGAAATGAATAAGAGGTGTTGCAGCTTTCACTAAAACCATTTTGTGATATTTATGTAGAAACAACAAAGCTTTAAAAAGATGCAGGAAGTTTGATGGTTTGAGAGAATGTAGATTGTTGGCAGGTACAGCAGTGCAGTGCAGTGCAATCCCAGACTAATACAGATTGAAAATGTTACTTGGTCACGATGAACAAATATCAGCTCTTGCAAATACACTTTTACACGGGATAGGGGATTTTGAAAGAAGTCCAGAATAAATTCTATCTGAGCTTGCAAAAGTTTAATTGCGGCTTAGTCTGTTATCATGATAATGTTAGCTCACCTCTACAGAGGAGAAGCTGACGGACTGGATTAAATGCATTTACATAGCAATACCCTGTCACTTCTGGCAGGTTCAACAATGAGCTGATTTATTACCATGGTCTAGAAGTAAAATTCTTGAAGGACTGGGATGCTAACCTGTAAATGCGGTCTCATGGGCAAGGAACAAATATAGCTTTATGCTCCTGCCGTCTTTTGTTCTCCATATCCACAAAACTGTCCAAAACTCAGCTGTTCAAATTCTAACTCTTAAAAAGCCCTGCTCACCCAATACACATGGGTATATTGGATCCTGTGCTAGTAACATCTTAGTTTTAAAATTTGCATTGTTAGCTTTAAATGTTTATATGGCTTTGTTCCTCCCTGTCTCTAACTTCCTCAAGCCCTAAAATCCTCCTAAGATCTTTACAGTCCTAAATTCTGGCCTCTTGTGCATCCCCCTATTTACATTGTTCTGCCATTAAGTATAATTTCTTCAGCTGCCTAGACCCAATACTCTGGAATTACCTCCATAATTCTCTTGTCTCTTTACTGAACCTTCTCTTTAAGTCATTCCTGAAAATATTCTTTTCACCCAGCTTTCAGTCACCTATCCCAATGGGCCAAAGGTTTTGATAGGAAAATAGTTGTTGCAGTTGGAATTGTCTATAAGTTGAAACTTTAGGTGGACAATTACCCAGAGCCCAGAACCCTCACAAAGAAACCTCAGTTCTGAGTTGGATTTAGCCAAGAAAGGTCAGATGAATTAAAATCTGCTGTACCTCCTGACTAACTATTAAACTGAATTTCCCCCCACAAACCCCCTCACTGACCCCTCTTTTGATGCACAATGCAGAAACAATAACTGCTCCCCACATCCCCATGTACCCAACGCCACTCCCACAAAGCCCTGACTCACGCAGCCCCACCAAACATGACACACACACCACCAAGTGGATCAGAAAAAGCCTGACTCCTGACTCCCCCTAGTTCTGATTCCCCCACCCTGGAAACGTCAGTAACACATGACATCCATCCCATTGTCCCAAACTCCTCTGTGTCCCCACAGACTGGCCCCCTCCCTCTTATTTAATTTGACCCGACTCTTCCCCCATTACCCCAATGCAAAAGACCACACAATCTGACTGGACCTCCCATAAAACCCCCAACTCCTCCCCCTGACATACTTAAAGCACTCACCCTCTCACCTGCTAACCTGCCCTCTCACCACCTGTCATGCCGACCCCTTAACACTAGGCAGTCCAATTCCTCGCTCATGTCATCCTACTCCCTCTCCCATCTGCCACTCTACATCCCTCTTACCTTCCCTCATTAGCAGCGAAAGTGGCTTCAGGGCTCTTTAATCCTGGAATATTCAGGAAAAAGGTAGACGGTTTCAACACGGATCCATGTCAGTGCTGGAGTGCATATATTCTTCGCCTGGATTAGACTGCTTCAGTTGAGAAGGCTCTTGGTCTGGAAGCTGGCACAGAGCACTTCTCTAATGGCAAGTATTTATTTTATCATCTGATCAGGGTCAGAAATAGTGCATCTGATTGCAATCAGAAGATCTGGGCCAGTTTCTCCTTATGTATCACAGCATCAAATTTTTGTTTGATAATATTCTGTGAAATACTTCAGAATATTTTTATTACAATAAAGGCACAATATAAACTGAAGTTGTTTTTTCCACTTGTGAAATTTAAATTTCATCCAATTATCAGCCAGCGTTACATTGGAAAACACAGGAAGCTTTAGTTGAGGAAACTATTGACACCAAAGTCTACCCCAACACAAGAATTTTGTTATCCCTTTGTCATCACTGGTCCAAAATCTCAGAACTCCTTATCCATCAACAGTACAGGACCCATGGAGCATAGTGATTCAAGCAGATGGTCCACTATCACCTTCTCAAGGGCAATTTCAAAAGAACATTGAATATTGGCTTTGCTAGTGGTGCTCATATCAAACAATGAATAATGAAAAACTTCAGCCAGTAACTCATATACATGGCAGGACTGTAAAGGTTGCTGCAGCTGCACCTTAAGAAAGACTGAGAAAGACTACAAGTATCAAAGCTCCAGTAATTTTCTCTCCTCCTGAACTGCCTCAATGTCTCAATGAAAGATGACTTGCCTTTTGATATCCCATTATAATGTTCCAAAATCCTTTATGATGGTAGCTATACTGAAGATCTGATACATGATCTTTACACTGTTGCAACCTGCGTTCTGTTACGTTTTATTCAAACTATAAACAAAGACAATACCGACCAAATATAATTTTACATACCCTTGTTGTATAAGCAGCTTCTGGGTCATCTTCAAGTACCCGGGAAAGGCCAAAGTCAGAAACCTTACTGACCAGGTTACTGTTGACTAAGATATTTCGAGCAGCCAGATCACGGTGGACATAACCCATGTCTGAAAGGTACCTCATTCCCGAAGCGATTCCTCTCAGCATTCCCACTAGTTGAATGACTGTAAATTGGCCATCATTTTTCTAAAGGAGAGTTAAAGCATTGATCATTTGACATCTCTACCATTACACTGTGGCTCCATTAAAGAGTGAGCAAAGGCTAGACTGAACTATAGTTTAATCAGAAACATATTCAGATAAGTTTGTAGAAAGAGGTCCTTTTCAAATTTTCTCTACTAAAATACCAAACAAAGCACGACCATACAGATAGATGAAGCTTTCTCCTGTTACCACCACCTAAATTATTAGTACTGGAGATGTACCAGCAGAGACTGGTTGAGCTACATGTCTTTTTGGTCATGGAATATTTTGGATCTTACAGAGCAGGGGAAGCTTCCTGGAAGAAAGTTAATAAGGGGTATGAGCAGGAAAGAATGAAATATCTCAGTGCTTAGTTTATAAATCAGTGCTGTGCTTTTCTAATCTGGTCAGAAAGTACAAACATATCAAAAGACTTTTTGCCTTTAAAGTACAAACACCTATGGTCAAAATAAACAAAATAAACAAATAAATTTTGATGGTATGCAATTCAAAGCCAGCTCACCAGGTAAGGAACATTTTACAGGCTTATTCAAGCATCTGCCACCTGACATTGATTTTGTACTGTTAGAGAGGAAACAGATGAGGGACAAGTCACTGTGAATATCTCACAAGCCAGAGCAATTTGTAATTTATAATATATTGTATATGCATGCATGTGTCTGTGCCATAGTCAGTTGCAGTTTCCTTGCTTATAGGGACAGGATTCCAGCAATGGGCTCTCCCAACAAGTCTGGATGCCTCTACTTCCCACTGGCAGAAAAGAAGACATAGGATATAAAATTCCTACCAGCAATAAATTTAGCTGTTTAAATATATTTGCAAAAAAAACCCAGGAAAACTTCCAAAAGATCACTAGGCTCTTCAAGAAAGTAACGCAGTCCCCAAAAACAACAACACAATAACAGCAGATAACAAGTTGTAGAGCTGATGAACACAGCAGGCCAAGCAGCATCAGAGGAGCAAGAAAGCTGACGTTTTGGGTCTAGACCCTTCTTCAGAAGGGGTCTAGGCCCGAAACATCAGCCTTCCTGCTCCTCTGATGCTGCTTGGCCTGCTGTGTTCATCCAGCTCTACACCTTGTTATCTCAGATTCTCCAGCATCTGCAGTTCCTACTATCTCAACACAAGAACAACAGTCTAAATTTCTAAACCGCATGAAAACATGTCATTTATCAAACTTTGTCACTTCAGCTGCAGGAATGCGCAACATTGCTTCACTTTAGAAAGGGAGAAAAACACAATGGTGTGAAAGCCTGAAAGGGAAAGTCCAAATGTTGAAAGCACAGACAGCACCTTCTGGAGAGAGGTGGGAGTCTGAAGATGGCTTTTCTGGAGAAGTTAAACCACATTAACAGTGAAGTATTTTGATTCATTTTCAACATTTGTCTCCCTCACAGTTAATTGTCATTTCTGTCTTAGTATTGAAAATCTAAGAGATATTTGAATTTTCAAGAAGTGAATCAGACAAAAAAAAATTATGAACACTCATTCTCCCATTTCTGACTATCCCTCTGTTTCAGCTCTCATAGCCAACTCTAGCTGATTCAAACTCATATCCTTTCAAATGTATTCTTCGCCCATCCAATCCTTTTACTTCTGACTAGATCTTCTCTTTATTCTTCTTCCATCTCAAGCTAGTAATTTTATGCTCAATTCAAATTGTAACTTTCCTCAACTAAGTTCTAACCAGTACTCTCTTTTCTTTCCATTTAATCTGTTGTCAAGTAACCCAGATAAGGAAGACAGAGCTGGTTTTCCTCTGTCTCTTTTTGTGACATCTTTATTGAAGAGAGGCATGGCCAAATTTCCATTAGAATTCCAAAATTCATTAACATATAGAATATTGATCTGCTCTCCATTTCTTTTGATTGCAACATATCTTTTCTGATTGTTAACACAGTGAATGATCTTGCCCTTTCAACTGCTCTACAGTAGACCACTCTATCCACACCCAGCATCTCCTCTCTATATTGTTCAGTTTAGTAGAACTACCTATCCATGGTTGTAGTCTTCTGTATCCAATCATAACCAGAGCATCTCCAGCTTTTCCATGGAAGGCCTGGTAGTGGAAAATTTTGCCCATTATCAAGGCATTGATTCGAACACATGGAAGTTAACAGAGTACTTGTGTTCTTCTTATTGCACACTGGTAAGGATTTTCTCTTTCTCTCTGCCAGTGCACGTTTGACATCAAACACGAAACATGTTTTAAGGTTTGATTTGAAACTATTATGTAATTTCAGTTGGTGACTCAGTTTCATTCAACATCATGAATTACTTCAACAAAAGATAGGAATCACTGTTAAACACTTTGTGTCAATGATCCATTTTTTTTTACTACTTTGTTAATATAATTTAAATAGATGTGCTGAGACTGGGATGCATTTAACAAAATGGTAACCACAGTGGGTGTGTTCACAATAGAATGGTAGGATGAATAATTGGGCATAAAGATCAATGCAGCTAGCCCAATGTTTTAGTTATTAATGCTTAAGAACCAGAAAAGCAGGAGAGCTGTGAATTGGGAGCGCTGACCACTGTGCTTGTGTACTCAATTACCTTCCTGTTAAGTAAGGCTGACTGGGAGAAACACATGCTCATAAAATGTATTCCTCCACATTGATTTATAAAGATGAAAACCATTTATACATTGAGTATATATCATTTCCTGTTCCATTAATAATTCATAAGGAAACAATTAAACCAATAAATTGCTAATTGATTGACAACTTAATTTCTGAAATGCAAGAAAAAACCTCACCTTTAAAAAAGTATCAAGGGAGCCATTCTCCATATATTCAGTCACTATCATTACTGGTTTACCTTAAAATATATAAAAAATTAAAATTAATATTTTTACAGAAACACTAAGAACATTCAAAGTGTATTTGTAGGAGTAAATGCTAAGAAAATTCCAAGATCTTGCCAATAATTTTCCATTTTAATGCATGAAAAATTACAGTTTCCCAAGATTCACTCCCTGTGAAGTGGTACTACCCACTGGGAATGTCAACTCACAAATTGCAGCCCCATAATTTCACACAAATTAAAGACATCATGCCGGGAGTAATGCAGTCATGCCTTCAGAAAAAAAAAGATATTTTATTTCTTGCTTTGTGAAAATCTAACAACATATTAGATTATTCTTAGGTTTATTATTAGTTTGCATTAAATCAATAAATGTTTCTGAATTTAAAGCAGCTGAATTGTTTTCCTTAATTTAGCATTAGTTATATAATTGACCACTGTTCTCCATCTACACCCCCACTCCCGACACTTTCTGCTTACATTTACTTAGAGTCATAGAGTCATAAAGATATACAGCACGAAAACAGACCCTTCAGTCCAACTCATCCATATCGACCAGATATCCTAAATAAATCTAGTCCCATTTGCCAGCATTTGGATCATATCCCTCTTAATCTGATTCATGTACCCATCAAGATGCCTTTTAAATGTTGTAACTATAGCAGCCTCCAACACTTCCTCTGGCAGTTCATTCCATAAACACACCATCCTCTGCATGAAAAAGTTGCCCCTTAAGTCCCTTTTAAATCTTTTCCCTCTCACCTTAAACCTATGCTGTCTAGTTCTGGACGCCCCCACCCTGGGGAAAAGACCTTGTCTATTTACCCTGTCCATGTCCCTCATGATTTTATAAACCTCTATAAGATTACCCCTCAGCCTCTAACACTTCAGGGAAAATAGCCCCAGCCTATTCAGCCTCTCCCTATAGCTTAACCCCGTCAAACCTGGCAACATCCTTGTAAATCTTTTCTGAACCCTTTCAAGTTTCACAACATCCGTCCTATAGCAGGGAGGCCAGAATTGCACGCAGATTTCCAAAAGTGGCCTAACCAATGTCCTGTACAGCTGCAACATGACCTCCTAACTCCTAAACTCAATGCCCTGACCTATAAAGGCAAGCATACCAAATGCCTTCTTCACTATCCTATCTACCTGTGACTCCACTTTCAAAGAATTATGAACCTGCACTCCAAGATCTCTTTGTTCAGTGACACTCCCCAGGACCTTACCATTTAAGTATATAAATCCTGCCCTGATTTGCCTTTCCAAAATGCAACACCTCACATTTGTCTAAACTAAGCTGCATTTGCCACTCCTCAGCCCATTGGCCCATCTGATCAAGATCCTGTTATACTCTGAGGTACCTTTCTTTGCTGTCCATTTACCTTCAATTTTGGTGTCATCTACAAACTTACTAACCATACCTCATTTGTTCACATCCAAATCATTTATATAAATGACGAAAAGCAGTGGACCCAGACCGATCATGGTACAACACTGCTGGTCACAGGGCTGCAGTCTGAAAAGCAACCCTCCACCACCACCCTCTGTCACCCACCACCCACCTTCAAGCCAGCTCTGTATCCAAATAATTAGTTGTCCCTCTATTCTGTGTGATTTAACCTTGCTAACCAGTCTACCATGAGGAACCTTGTTGAACACCTTACTGAAGTCCATATGGATCATGTCTACTACTCTGCCCTCATCAGTCCTCTTTGTTACTTCCTCAAAAAACTCCATCAAGTTCATAAGCCACGATTTCCCATGCTCAAAGCCACGTTATCTGTCCCTAATCATTATTTGCAGAAATTAAGAGGAAGCAAATAAAATCACTATGTAGTGAATTTCCTTTCCAAAGACTATTTGAGAATTGGTTTACATGACTAGTTTTCAGAGTGCAACTTTATTACAGAATTAACTTTCAGGCTACCTTTCAGTGGCCAAGTGGTTGTGGCACTGGGCTAGCAAATCAGAGGTCATGATTTTTAATCCCACAATTGTGCAACTAAATTTGTGAACTGAGGAATGACAGTAGAAAATGACCATGCAGGTTTTTTTTTGGAAAAACCTAACAGGTTCACTCGTGTCCTTTGGAGAAGTGAGCCTATTCCATCTACCAAATTATCCTACATATGTTTGAAATTCTACATGGCATTTGTGGATGAATACATATTCACCCTTAATATTCTGAGTTTTCACAGAAGGTAGACAATGGCAATGCCTAATGAACACACTAGGCATAAAAATAGTCACAAAGATATGAATGCTTTTGGTGACTGGTTTCTTAGGCCACTGATCCACCCCATATCACACTATAAATTTAATACTATATGCGCTCCCAGTAAATGAAAAATTATTTTTTTCAGCCAATTATTTTCCCAGATTAATGAGACAAATATAAAGTACATACTAGTCAATTTCCCTTATAGAATTTCACATGAGATTACATGTAGCCTTCAGGTGAAGCAGAATTATAAAATAGCAAATTGAACTGGGAAGGTAATTCAGCTGGCATTTGAAGTCATATGTTCTATCCTTTGCTTACATTACTGACGATAGCAAAATAGATGACAATTTCAGAAATGGAAGAACAGATGCCTGGAACACAGGAGTTTCTCTGCAGTGCAGTTTTGGGAGCTAGTAATCGTAAAACTGAAACCTGCATCGGTGGCAGAGTGGAATTGCAGTGTGACCTATTTACATAGGTAGTTTCTTCAATGAATGTACATGCGACAGTTTACAATGGTAAACAGGCTTCACGGGGAATTTATGAAATGTAAGATTATAAACATATTATTCATTAGTTTATAGCCGAGTACTCTAGGCAATCAATTTATCACATTAGATTCACTTAATAAATATACATTGCATGATTTTGTCTTCTTATACACTTCCCGATCTATGTAAAAATAACTAACTCAAGTTTATATTAGAAAATGTATTCACAGCACAGAAATCGAGCAAAAAAAGTATTTTTTTCATAATTTTAGTTTTCTAAATTCCTATCCTGTATTAGTGAAGCTGTTTTTAGAAAACATTCTCTAATGGTTTCATTTCTTTCTGAAATGCTTTGCAGGAAATTAATGATTAACAACATTAACATTTGAAAACATAGAACTGCAAATTAGCTGATTAATGTTTTGCAAAGTTGGTGATTCAAATATTGTTTCATTGATGTTCATAATTAATGCCTCAGCTTGCTGTAATGAATTACATACCTCCCCAAAATGAATGTTAAATCTGTGTTTAGCAATGTTCGTTAGCAAAGGATCACTATTAAAAAAACAGAACGAGGGCAACAGCTTTCATATTGTTTAAATAATCTGAAAATATGTTCATGAAAGCAGTGTTGTACTGAGTTATAATAAGGTTTATATCACTGCATCTTAAAGCAATGTGATCGATTGCCCAATTAATTAGTTAGTAAAACTGGGAGACTAGTGACATCAGATGTTATGAAATCTATAAGCTAATATTTTGCTGTCAGCCTTGACTATTTTATTAAACAGAATTAAAATACTGGAGATGCTGGGGATTTGAAAGAAAAATAGGAAGTACTCAAGAAACTCAGCAAGTCTGGCAGCAAATGGGGAGAGGGAAACAAAATTAACGTTTCTAGTCCATTATGACTTCTTCAGCAGTTATTAACATGCAATGCGCAGTTGTAGTTTATATTTTGATTCAAACAAAAAAAAATTCTTGAAACTGGGTTTTCTAAATGGAAATCCTTATTTATTAACTAAAAGCAAACTGCTCATATTAATAGCTGAGATGAAGCAGAAGACGTGCACACCACAAGATACATCAATACATTTAAAATTGAACATTGAACTTGAGGTTTTATTCTTAGCAGAATTCATATAGTTCTGAGCATTAAACTGGTAATTAAAACATTGGCATGCATTTATATTAATGACAATCTACAATAGGTAGAGATCTAATCAAAAATCTCTCTGCTGAAAGAGAAAATTGCATGGTCCATGTGCAAAAATGTAACTTTGTTGGTTTTAATTAAGATAAACAATGTGAAACACATCCAATGTTTAACAAGCTAACAGATACTTTACTAAAAATAAAATCATCAGCCACTCATCTGACAGCTTTTTCTAAATTAATATCACAATAATACGGATTAGCTAGATGCATTTATATATATATAATTATATTAATTATATATTATATATTATAATTAATAATCATTATATATTATATAATATATAGTATATATAATAAATATATATATAATATTCTGAATCCAAATAAGCTTTATAAATAATTAAGATTCACATTTCCAGATTGGATAACAGCTTCACAAATTTCAATTTCACAGTCGATTGACTTATAAGTTTGGTAGATAAAGTGTAGAAGGTTACTTACTTTTAGTGACCACCCCTTCAAGGTGGATGATGTTGGGATGGTCAAATTGCCCCATTATACTTGCTTCACCAAGGAAATCCCTGCGTTGTTTCTCTGTATAACCAGCTTTTAGAGTTTTAATAGCAACTGGGAATTCTCTTTTTCCAGGTAACTTCAAACGGCCACTGCACACTTCACCAAACTCACCTTCCAATCAAAATAAAATGTTGTGATGTTAAATAACCCGATTTGCCAATCCAGCAGAGGTCCGAACAATGTAGCAAAGATTTTTAGTCATCTAACTCACCTGCACCAATGACTCTTTCAATGGTAATGCAGGATGCATCGATTTCCTTGGCAAACTCATGAACAGCTTGGCTTGGGTCTTCGTAGGTATGAGGATCAATATATGTTCGTATACCTGGCAATTTAACTGTTCAATGACAAGAAATTATGAAGATATCAGTACAATACTGTGTAATTTCTCATTAAAATGGTTACACAATTTACATTTTTCTAAATGGACCTCTGAAATTTTAAATTTAATTTTGATCTCACACTTTGTGCACCTTCTCTACAGCCATAACATTGTACTCTTTGCTCTGTTCTATTACCCGAATGAACATTGCATTTGATTTGATCTGCCCGTACTGCACACAAAACAAACCTTTTCACTGTACCTAGATACATGTGACAATAATAAATCAAATAAAATTAAACAATCTTTCCCAAGATTTTGTTGTCTCTGCTTCTAGTATTTCTAACACATTTTAATTCATTATGGATGATTTCCCTTTAACTAGTATTCACGATTGGGATCATTTTCTGCAGTTTAAGGGACATTAGTTTCTTTGCTGCTTTACTCCCACCATTTTGGCCAAATCCATAGTCTTATCTGATCAGGTTCAAATCTGCCTACATTTACAGTTTCAGCCATTAGCAAAGACACATGAAATCATTGGAGAAAATCAGCCAGCCTGTTATACCTGCAGCAGCCATTACCTTCCAGTTTGCCTGCCAGCTGTATCAAAACAGTACATAGAAAGCCTTCAGCTCATCTGCCCAACCTGTTTATCCTATCACCTCACCAATTCCAAAGGTTTGCATCTAAGCCCCTTCCCTGAGCTGAACAGCTCAGTACTGTTGAGGAAGCATAGGGAACTGAGATAAAGGAGAATCACAAATAGTCCCCTGGCAGGAGAAAGCCCAGAAACAACAGGGCCACAGAGCAGGGCTAAGACTCAACGCTCCATGTATTGCATCTTTTTTTTCTTTACTTTGCACCTCAGAAATGAAAGGTTTCTTTGAGCAAAACCTTCACGTTTTAATGCTATTGGAGAATTCAAGCTCCTGCTAACACTCTCAGCTTTAGCATTTTATGCTGGAACTTTTTAAAAGTTTTATACTTCACAGTTTCCATGAACCTTATTCCTCCAACATAATATCCAAAGATGCATTTTCATCTCCCCATATTGCCCTGATGAAATTGACACTCATCACATCATCTCCTATGCTCGTTCCTTATTACAAACTTAAAACTGTGCAATTCTATACCTCTTTCAAATTTCTATCCAGCTACAATCTACACGTTTTTAAAAGAGAGGCTTGTTGTATTCAGATGATCAATTAATATGTAAAAAAACTACATTTATATTGAATGCCCTAAAACATCTGAAGAGAGCTTAAGGAAGTGTAACCATATTAAAATCGGCCATGATCAAAGCCAAGTAAATTACAGAGGCATATTTTGCCTAAGTTAGAGAAGAATCAAATCGAATCATAGATCTTGCAGCAGTATCATTAATTGTCTTATAGGAGGCAAGGAGAGATTTAATGAAGAAAGTCCAACATTTGGAACAGAAATGGCTGATGGCTAGGATACACAAGAGATCAGAATTTTTTGTTTTAATTTGTTCACTGAGCTGCGTTTTGGCTGCAAACCATAATAGGGGTCATTTGGTGAGCTGAATCCTCCAGGCACCCGCTCTGGTTTCCGAGTTGAGGTTTGCAATACCTAGCTTGTTTGGTAAGTTTGGAAAGATAGACAGCTGAATATTAATGAGGCGAGTTGAGCAGTCAAAAGACATCAAATAAGCAATAATTCCCGTTAAGTGGCAACTCACTGTTTCGTAGCACTAAACCCACCACACCTCTTAACAAAAACATATGTTGCAGGATGCTCCCAACATTAACGTGGACCTCTCTGGACTTCACAGATGATTCTGCTACACATTACACCATAGCCCACGCCACTCAGACCCCTATAAGAGTCTGCTCATTACTGTATTTTGACCTCGTATATATTTGTCTTGTCCTGCAAATAAAAATCAGTGCAATACTTAAAATTAACATCTCACGCTTCTATGTATTTAAGGAGCATAATTCTGTGTAACATTTAAGAATGTTTTCAGCTCACTGGAGCCAGGCTAGTAAATCAATTGGGGCTGATGTCACTTCAGCTAATTACATTTCTAAATACATGCACCATCAGGGGACAAATGAAGAAAAATCCTTAAAATTCCATAATACATCCCTTGCCGTCCACTGAGACTAGTTCTATCAGGTCTCCACTGCTTTTATAAGGTTGAGGTTCAGAGAACCCCTGGAGAAAACTAGAGCCAATTTCTTTAACAGTTCAGACAAACCGACTGGTACAAATTACGAAAATCATTACAGTATTTAAAGCATTTCTGCAAGTATGTTAAAGGCACTGCGATTCAGTGCAATAGGATGTTCTATGCTTCCCATCAGCAAGGCACTTTACCAATAAGTTTTCAACTAGCGATTTTAAAAGTTTTCTTTAAGGTTTTGGCCTAGGTGCAGTCCCAAAGTACTTAAAATAGAATAAAATAAAGGGGATGAAATCATCATAGAATCTCTACAGTGTGGGGACAGGCCTTTTGGCCCAACAAGTTTACACTGACCCTTGGGGCTTTTCATCCAGACTCATCCCCCTACAACACACCTGAAGGTACACATCCCTGAACACTATGGGCAATTTAGCATGGCCAACCCATCTAACCTGCTCATCTTTGGACTGTGGGAGGAAACTGGAGTACCTAGAGGAAACTCATGCAGATATGGGGAGAATGTGCAAGCTCCACACAGACAGTCACCTGAAGGTGGAATTGAGCCTAGGCTCCTGGAGCTATAAAGCAGCACAGCTAACCACTGAGCCACCATGCTGCCCCCTAGAAAATAGGAAGAGGAAATGCTGGAAAGCTCTCAGCAGTGCTGACAGTAGCTATCGAGAGAGAGAAACGGAGTTAACTTTGAGTCAAATATGATTCTTTTTCAGCAGCTGAGTCATATTGACTCAAAGCACTGGCCCAGACCTTGCGTTACTGGGAGACAGGACATAGGACCCAAACGTTACGCTGCCAAAACATTTGATGTGCTGATCCATTGGAATTGCCCAGGAAGTTTGACATTCCAACTGACAATGCCCTGGCTCTCCAAAAGCCTTTCAAAAGATCTTGGACTTCAAACAGTTCCAACTTCTGGATGGTTAACCAGGATATGTTAGACAGAAAAATCCTGGTTTTCTCAAGCAAGATTCATCACATCTTGACCACAGTCCATGTTGACACAATCTTCTGCTGTTCATCTCATTAATTACACAACCTGCTTCTTTGGGGCCCCCCCATGAAATCTTGTGGCAGGAAACAGGAAGTGTTCACCACTGCCAGGACTTTGTGAAGTCCATGCTGCTGATCCTATGTTTAAAGGTCAGCTGCACATCAAAGCAAACACTGCTAACCCTGCAAATGGCCCTCACACTGTGGTGTTCCAGCATGATCACCAAAGAAATGTCCCAGAAAGGTACGTTAGCACCATACTTTGCAAGCAGGGACCTTGGTACTGGGGAAAGGAGGGTTATCCTTGTTCAGTCTGACTAAAGAAGGCCTGTCCACAAGACTCAGCCATCCTGGACTAAGACAGTGGCCAGAGTTTCTGCATTGTCCTTGATGAAGCACAACATACAGCTGTACAGGGAGAAGGTTAGTGATCGTCTGCTCTCCGCAAAGGTAAATGCCACCATCTTCTCTGGGATGCTTCACACACACAGGGTCAGCACTCGGTAACTCTGCCACCACATACTCATCTCACCAAGGTTCATGGGCAACAACTCTCACTAGGCATGCACCATGTCCATCTGCTCTTCCTATTCAATCAATAAGGATAACTCACCACCTCTCTTACTTCTGCATCAACACTAACTGTTCTTCCATTCTCTGACACTGACAGGACTACGCATCTGACTGATGTTGGCCAACCCCCTGGAGTGGACCTAAACTTATCCCCTAAAGTGAATGTCACGGAACCCTTGACTTTGTCTGCTCCATCGTTGGTTCCCTTTGACTTTCAGACCTATCTATTTGGTCAAAGGACATGCACAGCTGGAACAGGCTCTAAGTGTGAAACAATGTAACACAATGCCATACAGCAACATATCTACTCATTCACTGGTCAATGTTCTGAACTGTGTCTGCTCCTCTCTCTGCACTAAAAAAATTCAAACCACAAGGCTGGTGAACTCCAAGTAGTGCAAAACGAGTAAGCACAAAAAACGTACTTAACCAGCCGTCATCCTCGGCACCTGCATGTCTACGTATTCACCCATTCACAAACCCATTCACATGTATACAAACACACTGGAAGGAGCTTAAATGTCCAATAGCTTTTTAATGCATCAGCTAATGAACACAACAGAATATGGCACTTAGTGCATTAAAAGGGGAGGTCACTTGTCTTCTTGCCGAAAATCCAGTGCTAAGAAGAAGTCACAGAGACATAGAGTCCTCCAGCATGGAAACAGACCCTTCAGGCTCCCATGTTCCCAAACTAAACTAGTTCCACCTTCCTGCCCTTGGCCCATATCCTTCCAAACCTTTCCCATTCATGAACTTATCCAAATGTCTTTTAAACATTGTAACTGTACCTGCATTCACCACTTTTTCTGACAGTTCACTGCACACACAAACCACACTCTTTGTGTAAAAAAGAAATTGCCCCTCATGTCCTTTTTAAATCTTTCTCCTCTCACCTTAAAAGTATGCCCCCTAGTTTTGAAATCCCCCACCCTAGGGAAAAGACCCTTGTCGTTCATCTTATCTGTGCCTCTCATGATTTTATAGACCTCAATAAGGTCATCCCTCAACCTCCTACGCTCCAGTGAAAAAGTGGAAGTGGTTTCCCATCGAATTGCTTCACATTTCTGAAGAAACCGGGATCAGAAATCTTGGATGCAGCATTGTAGGAATGAAGTGGTAATATGACAGCAATGGCCACTTCTTGGAGGATCTAGGGTGTTAACTCTGCTTCTCTCTCCACATTGCCAGACCTGCTGAATGTTCCCAGCACTTTCCGCTTCAATCCCAAAACATCGTGCTGTGGAATTGCGGAAAATATGATTTTCAAAAGAATTTAAAG